TGGTGAAGATGTGTCCCAGGTTGATGAAATAGTATATTCAAAGATAAAAATGAATGAAAAATGGTGGTGTCTTAAGGAAAGGCCAAGTCCTTGGTGTGACTAGTGCATAGGATGATCCTGGAGAGGTGTCTTATGAGACTTGGCTAAGAAGGTCATTTGGATCAGAGAGTGAAAGGCCTTGTTTTTCATAGTAGGAAGTCTGATTTTTATTCTAAAATCACATGGTGGTCATGAAGAGAAGGGAAATTAAGGCAATGGGGGCAAAGAGATGGGAGGAGATTGAAGAGATAAGGAGGACTTAATGGTCTTTGAATTTGGAGTAAGACTTAATGGCCTTTGAATTTTGAGACAAATAAGAAGGAAAGCACAATTGTTGCTGATCTGGGGTGAAGGTGCTGGAAAGAATATTTAGAAAAGTTCTATTTGAACTTCTTGTTTTTGTTTCATATCAATTCTTTTTTTCTTCCACTTTGAAAGAACTCATGGAACAAAGATTTTATAAGGCCAGAAATGAGGTCTTAGAAAATGGTCCACTAATGAAGTCAGCACAGCCTCACAATGAAGAAGGAAAACAAGCCATAAATCATTGCTCACCAATAATTTGTTGAGTAATTACAGTTGCGGATTCTGCACAGAGATGTACTTGTGTAGGATTTTCAGGTCTCAGGAATTATGGATTAACTAGGAATATACAAACAAATGACATGTGCTTTCTCTCATTTTATATATATGCAGAAACTAGAAAAGCATGGAGTTAGAAAGGATTCAATTAACTCTAGTGATAGGACCTCAGCAGTCTTTCTGGTGAGGGATGCAGGAAGTATTGTTGACAGCAGGGATACCCTCTGTGGTCTCTGGCACTTCTATTAGCCTGTTGCTGTATTTCATCTCATCCAGACTTTGAGATTTGAGATTCTTGATGCTTCATTGATAGGATACAAAATTCACCAAAGCTCAAGTTTTCTGCCCTTCAGGTGCTAATACAAGTCTTCAGAATACTTTTTCTGTTTCTGAAATTTAGGGAGAAGTGTTCTGTGCTTTCAATGATCCAATCAGACAACAAGTACGTGGAGGGCAAACCAGGAAATGACTTAATCCCACAATCAACCAAAATTGAGATCTGATTATTTAATCCAATTTACCAATCAGATTTCACCTAACTAGAAAATCCTAAGAGATGTTGCTCAAAGAAGCTAAATGACCTAAAAATGAATATTGATCTTCAAAAGAATCATTGTGTGTAGATACTGTAGGTTAGAGAGAAGACACACATTATCAAGCTCAAAGAAAAGGAAAGATAAACTTGGCATGTAGGTTTCTTTCTTAACTTAATGTTGCTTTAGCTTTGGTGACTGTGCATCCTTGTACTCATGTGATTTCTGTTCTTGTATGTAGTCATAACTGGGATTGGAAGAAACAGCTGCCTTGGTAGGATAACCTCCACCTTGTTCTCTTCTCTGGGGCCACCCATTGTCCTGGGTTATATAGAGGTCTGGGTCACTACATCTTCGCTGTGAGCCTTGGCTCTGTCCATCAATGACATGTTTGTCATTCATGTGGAATTGATCTCTGGTATGATGAACTTGCTCGATTCCATGGGATTGTTAGTTCTGGCATCTTTCATACCTCTCTTCCCTCTCATGGGTTTCCATATTCTATTGTGGCTGACAGTCTTGATCCTTTTCATGCATTTTTCTGTTTTGTCTTTGATGGTTTTGCTCACCTTCATGGGCTTATCTGTTTTGTCTCTAACAGTTATGCTCATCTTGATGGGTTTGCCTCTCCCGTGTCTGATAGCTATGTTCCTGTTGGTGGGTTTGCCTGTTCTGTGCCTCACATATACTTTCCTGACCCTGTTGGCTCTGTCTACCATAGCCTCTTTGATGACCCTACCTGTCTTCTGTCTGGTGGCTCATCTCTTCACTTTGGCTCTGCTTGGTGTGAGACTGTCTGTGGCCCTGGTCATTGTCACATGATTGTCAGTTTCTTCTTTTGTGGCAGAGTGATCTTCCTTGCTGGATTTGTGCTGGTGTTGTTGAAAATCATCCTTAGCCTGTGCCTTCCAGGACTGCTGATTGTTCTGGAATCTTTGCCTCTGGTTTTGGTTCATTTCCTGTCCTTGAGGCTGTTGACATTGTCTCCCTGACCTTTCTGATTGCTCAGCATTTGACTTTCTTATTCATTCACTCCCTTGGTAGTTCCCAGTTTCCGCAGTGTCTGTTTGCCTGTATTGATAACTCTGGCTTTGTCCATCTGGCCACAATGAGAGATCCGGTTTTGTCTATCTATTTGACCTTAATGAGAACCTAGACCTTTCTTGTCTGTCTGACCATAGCGATAACTCTGGCCTGTCTGTCTGTCCAACCACATTAAGAATCTAGACCTTGTCTGTCTGCCCATATTGAGAACTCTGCCCTTGTATGTTTGTCTGACCACACTAGGAACCCAGATTTTGTCTGTCTGTCCAGTTTGAAATCTCTGGCCTTGTCTGTCTGTCTATAGTGGGAACTCTGCGCTTCTCTGCCTGTCTAACCATACTGAGAACTCTGGCTTTGTCTATCTGTCTGACCGCAGTGAGAACCCATTCATTGCCTGTCTGTGCATCCATATTGAGAACTCTGGCCTTGTCTGTCTGTATGACCATACTGAAACCTTAGGCCTTATGTGTCTGATTGTCCATATTGATATCTCTGGGTTTGTCTGTCTATCTGATCATAGTAAGCACTCTGGCCTTATCTGTGTCTCTGACCACAGTGAGGACCAAGACCTTGTCTGTCTGTTTGTCAGTATTGGGAACTCTGGCCTTGCCAATCTGTCTGTCCGTAGCGAGAAATCTGTGCTTTTCTGCCTGTCTGACCATTGAGAGAACTCTGGTTTTGTCTACTTGTCTGACTGCAGTCAGAACCCTTATCTTGTCCATCTGTCCATAATAAGAACTTTGGCTTTGTCTGTCTGTCTGACCATAATGAATTTCCAATCCTTGCCTGTTTCTCTGACCACAACCAAATTCCTGACCCAGTCTTGTAGACTGTCCATAATGAGAGCCTGATTCCTGTTGGTCCAGGTGGCTAGAACGAGAGTCCTGTCCAAGACTTCTAGATTGGCCACAGCTTGATCGCTGCCCAAGTCTTTCAATGATAATAATGAGAATCCTGAACTGGTTTCTCACACTGAGATATCCATGTCTTTTATGCTGACTACTGCTAGAGTCCTGGTGTGGCACTGTGGGTTAATGTACCAGACTGCAAAGCATTTAGAGCTGCAATGTCGGCAGTTCAAGCTCTCCTCGGAAACCCTATACAGGGTCACTATGGGTCAGAACTAACTTGATGGCACTTCACATCAACAACAACAACTGCTAGTCTAATGTCTCTCAGATTTTGACCATAGCCAGAGTACTTAACCTTGTCTCTCAGTTTGATCTAAGCTAAGATCCTATTTTGTCTCTCAGATTGACCATGACAGGCATCTGTATCTTGTCTTCCTGACTGACTCTGGTGGAAGTCCCAATCCTGTCTCACAGACTGACCCTGGTGGGGGTCCCTATCCTGTCTTCCAGATTGACCATGACACACATCCCTGTCTTTTCTACCAGACTGACCCTGGCAGGAATCCTGATCTTGTCTTTCAGACTGACCATGAGAGGAATCCATATCTTGTTTTATAGTGTGACCAGGACGGGAATCCCTATCTTGTACCTCAGACTGACCATGACAAGACTCCATATCTTGTCTCCCAGACTGACCATGGTATCTTTCAGACTGACAATGATGGGAATCCTACCTTTCTTCTTCATGACTCTGTCTTTGTTGTCTGTCTTTATTTCTTGGGCACTTATGGACTTGTCCTCACTCCTGCCATCCTTCTTTCTAGGAAGTTCTATCTCCACATGACTCAATATCTAGCTTATGATAGCAGGTTTGGACCAATTGGAGCACCAACAAGAAGTATTTTTTAAAACCAGCATGTCCATCTCTATCCAAGAGGCTCAGGATGGTTTCCAGAGTCTCTGGGTCATTTGCCCCCTGTAAGAAGATAAAAGAAAGATACAAATCAGATGACCTTCTGTGGATAAGACATGTGACAATGCCCAAGCCCCAGTCCATTCAGTTCTGTAAGCGTCTTCCTTGGATGAAGAACTTTTCATCTAAAGAGTTGAGCTTGTTTCAATTCCTTGACCAGCTGATTCTCAGAACCTCACCACGTGATGAACTGATGGGAGCCCTCTTAAAATCAGCTCCATTAATAACTGATTTCAGTCATTTGAGGAAGTAATCCCATCCCATCCCATGTTGTTGTTGTTGTTGTTGCTAAGTACCACGGAGTCAGTTCCAATTGATAGTGACCCTGCACAGGGTTTCTGAGGCTGCAAATCTTTATGGGAGCAGAAAGCCTCATCTTTCTCCTGTGGAACAGCTGGTAGTTTTGAACTGCCACCTTGAGGTTAGCAGCCCAATTCATAACCATTACACTACCAGAGATCCCATCACATGATACATCGTTTTTGGTTTACCTTCTTCTCACCACACTGAGATCCTGGAGGGAGGTGAAGCGGGTTTATTAGTCATTGTCTATAATGTTGCTGATATAGAGTAAGTGCTCAATGGTACTTTAATGAATGAATGCATGAATACTTAGTAACATTTGTAGATGGCTCTAAAATATTGAAATCAGATATAAACATTTTATTTCTTTCTGAGAAATGATTCCTACTTACTTTGAAGTTATACTCCCCCCAGTTAAAAGTCAGATATAAGAAAAGGGTGTGTTTGTGTGGTTGTACGCTAGTGTGTGTGTGTGTGCGCATGCTCATATATTCTTGTGTTTGTGCTTGGAAAGAATTACTAAGCACCTGCCTGATACTCTTTTAGTTCCAGGGTAGAGTTGGAGCATGACCAAATGAAATAGAAAGGTAAGCCCTGGGGAGAGCTTGGATGCAGGTAGCAGAGTCACTCACACGTGATTCCAATAGACCAGGGTCTCCCCTGAGCCCATCTTACCTGGAGGACATCTCCAAATTCAGCCAAAAGCAGATGCATCAGCTCATTCTTGCAGAGTGATGTGTAGTCTCCATGCCCACTCTCATATTTCTGGAACCCCCTGATCATGGTGAATACGCTATTCAGAAGTTGAGCCATTAGGGCAAATACTGGTGTATCTAATGGAATAAACCAGGATTTGTGAGCATGAAGAAGGAAGATCATGAAACAGCATTTTCACAAGTAAAGTGGCCATTGTTGGTGAGGGAAACAAGCTGAAAAATCACAGAGTCCCTTTTAAAAAATACTCATAAATATAGGTGGTTCAAACTGTTCGTGAAATAATTGAAATAAAAGATAATGGCTGTTTTCTACTAACTTTTTGAAGTCTCTTTCTCTATGCAACCACAAAGCAAACCTAGTGCCATGAAGTTGCTTCAAAGTCATGGCAACTCCATGTGTTACAGAGGAGAACTGTCCAATAAGGTTTTCTTGGTTGTAAATCTTTATGGAAACAGATCTCCAGCCTTTTCTTCTGCGGTGCTGCTGGGTGGGTTCAAACCACCAGTCTTTAGGTTAGTAGTGGAACACAAGCTCTTTGCATCACTTAGGACTATATATACGATGGGTCTTCTGAAAGTTTGTGGAAAAAGTGAATGTAAAAATAAAGGAATTTTCCCATGAATTTTTTGAATCCTCCTCATACTCAAGGTCCTGGAGGCAAAGTGGTTGAAGTCCTAGTCTACTCACCACAGGTTGGCAGTTCAAACTCATCAGTTGCTCTGTGGAAGAAAGGTGAGGCCGACTACTACCATAAAGGAGTACTGCCTTAGAAACCCTATGGATCAGTTCTACTCTGTCCTCTAGAGTCTCTGTGAGTCAGAAGGAAACCGACAGCAGTGGGTTAATTTTGTTTTGGGTTTGAAAATTCTTAGTCTCCTAACAAACATTCCTCAAGTAGAAAAGAAAGCTAGAGTTCTTACCAGGGACCAAGGAAGACTCTTGGAAGGTTTAATTCCAGCAAGTGCTTCTGGCCTGATTACATATTTTGGAAAATGCTTATAAAATGAATATGTTGAATGAAACAATTTACAACAAATTGAAATAACAATGTAGGAACACAAAGGAATGATCTATACAGGTGATGAAGTATATACAATCAGCTAGGTCAACCTTGTCCATGAGGGAAGGTTGTGTATTTTGGGGATCTAGATCTCAGTGTTATTTCTTCTTGTGGTGCAAAAACTCCAGAAAATGAATTTGCAGACCTCCAAACTTAATCTATGGGAGCACAGTGACTTTGTAGGATAAACACTAGACTGTAAACTTCTGTACAGAAAGATGAGGTTTTCTGTTTCTGCAAAGATTATCAGGCTCAGAAACCCTATGCAATGTCTCTATGAGATGGAAGGAACTCAATGTCATTAACAACAACAACAATAACAACAAACTTAAGCTCTAAACACAGAACACACTGGACTTTAGAAGCATGAAGTGATGTTTATAAGGAATAAATGGCAAATAGTGAATTAAATGGAACAAAGCCATGTCCCTTGAGTCAATTCACGGCAATGAGACCTCAATGTTGCTAGAACCCTGTGGTCTAGGGCCTTGGATATGATGAGCATCAAACCCATGGATCTTATGTAATTTGCAGAAATTATAAAATCCCTGCTGTAGGACACTAAATTATCTTCTGATAGTTCTAGCCCTCAGTTTTAAGATGCCTAGAACACACTAGAGCAAAGGCGTGTATATCTTTAGGCTCAGAAATAAGTCATCATACTCTCAGAGCTCAGGAAAAGGAAACTTCCAGAGAGCACTTTCAGATCGCTCCAGCCAGGCATATCACAGCTGGCTATCAAGAACCTTGCAGATACTGCCTCCTTGTCCCCGTGCCTTACCTGCTTACAGAGGAAGGTGTAGAAGATTCAGAGACTGGAGAGGATACTGCAGACCTGACAACCCATCCTATTTATGTTGTTGTTGTTGTTAAGTGCCGTCGAGTCGGTTTTGACCCATAGCGACCCTGGACAGGATTTCCAAGGCTGTAAATCTTTACGGGAGCAGATCGCCTCATCTTTCTCCCGCGGAGCAGCTGGTAGTTTCGAACTGCTGACCTTGCGGTTTGCAGCCTGATTCATAACCACTATGCTACCAGAGGGGTTTGAATTGTCCTACTATAGTTCTGGTGTGGTACTGTAGGCTAAGTGTAGGTCTGCAAGGTCACATTGAATCACGAGGTCGGTCGTTCAAACAGTAGTCACTCCTTGGCAACCCTATATAGGGTCACTATGAATCAGAACTAACTAGATGGCACTTAACAACAACAATCTGAGCATCCCAGGTGACACCCATTCTGTGGCAGAGCCCAACTCAGCCCAGCTTGACCTTTTCCTTCTTTAAACCCTTTGGTTTAATTATAGCCCCTACTTGCTCACACACCTGTTTGTTGTTAGAGTAGATAACTGTTTATGTATCAGACCCATTTAATTAGGACAGTGTGTGTGTGCATGTATGTGTCCTGTGGAGGGTCCCAAAGGCAGAATTCATCCTTAAAACATGTAACTTACCAAGACTAACAGAGTATATCAACCAAATCATAGTAAAGAACATCGATGGCATCACTTTATAGAAATTCTTTGAAGTAGAGCCTGTTGTTGTGGCACAGCAGATTAAGCGCTGAACTGCTAACCACAATATCGTCAGTTCAAACCCATCAGCCACTCCTTGTAAACACTATATAGAGTCACTATCAGGTGAAACCAGCTTGATGGCACTTAACGTAGTCTTAGTAGAAACTTTGGTCAATATTTGTATTTTAATTTTAATTAATTAATTTTGAATTGCTTATTTTTTCATTTAGTAGCTCCATCGATGGGTGGATTATTGTTAGTTACCTTCTAGATGATTTCAACTCATGGTGATGTCATGAGTGCAGTGTAGAATTGCTTCATAGAACTTTCAAAGGTGTGATGTTGCAGAAGCTGACTGCTGGACCTTTCTTCAAAGGTGCCTCTGGGTGGGTCTAAAATGCTAATCTGTGCTTAGTAATTGGGAACTTAACCATTTGCATCATCCAGGCTGTGGAAGAAGTGGATAATTGATGAATTTGAAGGTGTGTGATGATGGTGGGGTTGCCTCCACTGTGCCCTTTGAGATCTTACAAAAGAGTTGTAGCTGAGGATCAACATTGAAGCTTATGATCCTTGTGAAGTAGAGACGTTCGTTCTCAGAAACAGGGGTCTCCATTTGTTCTGTCTTTATACCAACAACATGCCAGCATAGTGTCCATAGAGCACAGGAGATTTTTAGCAAATATTTGTGTAGCAAGTGAATTGTTGAATTATTGACACACTTGATAATCCGGTACAAGATGCAGAAAATCTTAAATTCCTGTACTTATTTTGTTTCCTGTCAAGATCCTTGTTTGGTTCTTTGCTTACAAATCAATCAACCCACTCATGAGTAATGGAATTGGATTCTGCAAGGTATGAAAACACTGTTCTTCTTGTTAATTGAGTTGAGTCAGTTCCAGCTCAAATCCTGTTAGAATAAAGAAGTCTCACCCAAAGATTTTAAGCACCAGACAGGACATGCTAAATTCAGAATGCTAGAAAACCTTGGTGCATATAGAGTCCTTAGGAGTGGGCTGGAGATTCACATCTGAGATGGGGTTTGTTTTGTTCCTTGAAAAATTCAAATGGGCAGAGAAGAAATAGAGGGGTTTCTGGTTAGAACATAAGGAAAGATCAAATATAGAAAAGTGAAACTAATGTGTATGGACAAGAGTAAAGTAAGCTGGTAAATCTTGCTTTTAAAAGAAACAACAAATTAGTTACTGTTTAGTAGATTCCAGCTTACGGTGACCCCATGTTTGTCAGAGTAGAACTGTGTTACAGAGAGGTTTCAATGGATACTTTTTCAGAAGTAGATAGTCAGGCCTTTCTTCAGAGTACTTCTGGGCACACTTAAACAGCCAACCTTTCGGTTAGCAGCCTTGCATGTTAACCATTTGCAAAATCCTGGGATCGCAGAGAAGGCATGATGTTGTTAAGTGCCATTGAGTTGGTTCCGACTCATTGCAACCATAGTACAACACAAGAAAATAATACCTGATCCTGTACTATCCTCATAATTGTTATGTTTGAGCTTGTTTTTGCTATCACAGTGTCAATACTACACTTTTGGGCTCTTCCTCCTTTTCTCTGACCCTCCACTTTACCAACCACTTGTCTGTCAGTTTGTCATATTGTGGTGGCTTGCATGCTGCTGTGATCCTGGGAACTATGCCAGTGATATTTTAAATAACAGCAGGATCCTGCATGATGGACAGGTTTTAGCTGAGTCCCAGACTAAGATTAGGAACAAGAAGAGACAGACTACTTCTGAATATTTAATCACTGAAAACTTTATGAATAGCAGTGGAATACTGTCAGATAGCACCAGAATATTGAATATTGAAGAATGATAAAGACACAAGAATATTGTCAGATACAGTGCCCGAAAATGAGCCCCTCTGGTTGGAAGGCACTCAAAATATAACTGGGGAAGAGCTGCTTCCTCAAAGTAGAGTTGACCATGATGATGTGAATGGAGTAAAACTTTCAGGACCTTCATGTGCTAATGTGGTACAATGCAAAATGAGGAGAAATAGCTGTAAATATCCATCAATAATTGGAAAATGAATTGTATGAAGTAAGAATTTAGGAAAATTGGAAATTCTCAAAAATGAAATGGAACACATACATAAACATCGATAGCCTAAGCACTAGTTAGCTGAAATGGACTGGTAGTGGCCATATTGATTGTGACAATCATATAGTTTCTACACCAGGAATAACGGATTGAAAAGGAATTGTATTATATTCATCATCAAAAAAAGAACATAGCAAGATGTAATTTGGAGTACAATGCTGTCTGTGATAGGATAATATCCATAGTCTACAAGGAAGACCACTATTAAAATTAATGTGCCAACCACTAAAGCCAATGATGATGAAATTGAAGGATTCTACCAACTTCTTCAGTTTGAAATTTATCAAACATGCATCAAGATGTATTGATAATTACTGGCAATTGTAATACAAAGGTTGAAAACAAAGACAAAGAGATGATTGATAAGCTCCACATCATCAGCCAAAACAAGGCCAAAGGCAGACTGTAGAACAGACCATCA